GCTTTTGATCCTTTGCCAGACGAGATTTTAAGGGCAGACATCTTGCTCGCCATACCCAAGTCGCTGAGAATCTTATCCTCGAGAACAGAAATTTTTGGGTCCGGCTGAGGTGCAGCATTGGGCCTGCATTCCTGTTAGTGCCGGGTTACCGAAAAAGCGAATCATGACTTACCTAAAGACCTCATCCTCTCCAGCGAATTTCGGTCCTCCAAAACCCCCTCGACCACCACCCCGACCGCCACGAAACTCTCCCCTACCTCGACCTCCGCCTCCACCCCGCGGTAGTCACCACCGCCCCGTCCGCCACGATAATCACCACCGCCGCGGCCACCACGGAAGTCACCTCCCGGACCTATTCCAGAAAATGTAGCACTACCGCCACGATCGCCGCCGCCGCGACCTCCGCGGCCACCTCGTCCTCCACCACGATCACCACGACCTCTACCTCTGCCACGATCCGCCATAGTAGCTACCAGATAGCAGTTGAAAAAGGATGAGGTATGTAAGGTTGCAACTAACTAGTTAGCTGAACTTGAAATGAGTTGTGATTGATTGGATGGCTTACGCCGACCAGACTTGGAAAATCGACAGTATGAGTTGAATAGTTGAGCAATATTGTTAACTACAGCTGTAGTTGCAGGGATATCCGTCTCGATACTTGGTAGGTTCGAGATAGATAGGAGTATCTAGTCACAGATGAGATGAGCGCCTACTCGGAAGGTGACAGGATGAATCTGCAAGAAAATAGCTATGAGATATTGACCATTGTAGCGATATTATGGAGAAGTAGGTAAAAGAAGACTGACAGAATGCCTGAAGTTAGGATATATAGGGGGAGGTGTATATATCTATGTATATGTTGGTTTTGTACAGACGGGAGACAACGTTCTGCAAGTCGGTTAGGCAAGGATCGGGAACCCCCAGGTAGCTCGATTGCGAAAATGACATGGGGAGTTTGGTTATGAAAACTTGATTGATAAGAGATATCCGGGTACAAGTTAAGAATACATGTAGGTAGTTGACCGCATACTGCACGGAAGCGTTCATCCAGCAGGTTGGCCACATCAATGACGATGCAGCAGGCCTAGAGGGTTGTTGGCTGTGATGGGTGTGAGGGGCAAAACCTACAAACAAGCTGTGCTAGATCTTTTGGTCGGTACAGATGTTGCTGCAAGATGATAGTTTGAAGTTAAACAACCCAAACAATTAAGTGGGTGTGGATATTGCTGGGATAGAAGAAACTCTGTTTAAGATCCAGCAAAAAGCTCAAGCAGAGCGCATTCAACATAAGCTGAGGGGTAGGAGCATGCCAGACAGAAATGATAATGACCAGCCAAGAAGTCCTCTCATATAGAGTATTCTAACTGACTACCTAGGTAGGTAGGTACCGTAAATTGAATCAAACACGATGGGGGAGAAACTTAGAAATATGGACGTAAAGAGGAAAAAGACATAGCATACATAGGGAGGATAGAATAAAAGAATGAGGCAGCAGAAGTGGACCCGGTATTATGTAGAGATATGTAGGTACTTGCAAGTTACTTACACAGCTCCAGAGGAGTAACGCTGTTGGTTAAAGCCCTACATGTCACCACCCGCAACCCGCAGGCGGCCATAGTTTCCTCTTCCCAGCAGGCAAACTACCTCCATTTCGATTGAGAAAAAAGTCCTACCTTATTCGTATCCCCATTGCTTTTTTTTTCTTCCCCTTCTCTTTCTTCTTTCTCTATCAAATTCCAAAGCGGTGTGCAGCAATGTATGTCACGATTATTCAGGGTTTCGCCATTAATCGATATCTACCTTCCCCCCCCGGTCGGGCAGCTAAACTGTTTACGGCCCAATTTGGCGTTTGAAGACCCGCGCACATGGTTCCGGTTTCCAGCCTATCCCTGTCTCAGCCGATGCCCCGCCCTTCCCTGCACTTCGTGGCTTTTCTCCACTTGAGCTGTATCCCACCATAAGTTAAAGTTACTACATGGAAAACGCATAAATATATGAAGGATGATGAGTTATTCGCTCTTCAATTCTAAAAGCAGAAAATACACAATTGTAAGCAGGAGATTGGAAGAATCATTATTTCTGTATCCCACGAATTGTCACCACTTGAATACCTAGCTAGCCTTTGCTTTTTTTTTATGAACAAGGATTGCAGTTTGAAATTGATCACCATGAGCTCTTCTAAATCATCACATCCTATGTATTGCTGACAGCTTGGCTACGTAATGGGTAACCCCGAGTTAGCGGTACAAGCATCCAAGCCAGGCATTGATAATTGAGACCGGAAAATGAGGTACTCATCTTGTACAGCTTAGGTATCGGTGACGAATTGTGTCCGAAAATGACATGTCTCTTTTTAACAACACAACTTGTCAGCTCATTATCGTCGTAGGCAACAGGTTAATCAACCTATGAGTCATTTGGCTGTTCTTCAGCAGGATTATGCTCATCCTACATCCAATGATGCTTACAGTCCTACCCCTAATATATATTGACTGTATATGATTGAAAGCAACCCTAAACCCTGTCCTACTTTTCCCAAATGTCTTCTTGCAATGGCATACATAGACAAAGACAAGCATCTTTGCAAACAGGGCATAGTGGCATGCCCAGGCTGGTATCCCTCGTACTATGTAGTACATCCCACACCTTGGTGGCCACTTCGCAATCTTGACAAACAAAAGCCCTTGGAATAAGGGTTGCCTATTACGTAGTCAATAACAAATGGACTTCAGCCTCATCCATTCACTTAATTGGTTCTATGCTACCTACATATTCTGGCCATCCTCATGCATCCTGCAAGCCAAAAGTACCCCCGCCACCTTATTCTTGCAGGTTGCCGACTTGCAGTCGGTACCTGAACTTGACGCAGGTTGGAGCTGACAACCTGTCATTCAAAATGTTCAAGCAGCCTACCGACACGTAACCCATGAACTTCAAGGGTTCTGGGATCTCCCCCAATATAAGACAGCAGGGGGGCTTGGAATCCCACACTTTTGATTAAATACATGGATGCCGGAAACTGTCTGATAGGGACCTATACACAAATCAGCCCTAGCTAAACCCCACGGGGATATAGCGGATTACCGGACCGTCCCGCTACCAGTAGGTACCATTTCTCCACAGTCGCCAGGTGACGGAGGTAGCAGAGATAGGCATGTGTTTATAAGAATTCGGCTTACACGTTTGATCTCTTCGGTTAGAGACAGCAGATCATATTGAGAATCGTTTGCACACGTCGCTTATATCAAGTAAACTTATATGTAATCATTGTAGTACAACACCTGGATGCGTACAGCGTGCCCTCATTCGACCGGAACTCGGCCTGGTGAAACACAGTGCCAGTGTTGCTCTCGCAACATTATGCTTCTAGATCATTATGGCCCTACGTAGTATATGACTCACACACAGCAGGGGGGCAGGTTCCGACAACAACCTAGCCTTGATTATTACATAACGTATATCCATCGTGGACATGAGCTATCCAGAACGTCAGTAGGTAGCGATTGCTAGAAACAAGCTAAAGCACCTATCAAGTGAACCAACTACTAGCAAACAATACAATGGATTAGACATTTTAGAGACTGGAAACCTACATACTCAAGGGTCGAATAAAAAGAAACAAAGACGAAAATCTAGTTTGTTTTAATATGGATGGACACCAAACCACCATCCAAGTCTACAATCAAATTTATCACTCGCATTGAAAGCCTCCGATACGGACATTGATCCTGCGGCTATTAAAATAATATCCATCCTCCATATACGATAATGGGCTGACCTTTGATGATAGCATTAACGGTTTGTTATATGAGATGGCTGCTTAGTAGTATGTCTTGTCATTTTCTCGCTATGTTTCCGATAATTGATAGGCCCTTATACATACGTCGTCCCACTGTAGTTGTCTAGAAACGAATAGAATCGTTACAACTCGACCGGTGAGTAATAACGCCTGGCAGACCTTTTTCTACTCGTGGGCTTTAAATGAAAGTAGATTCAGTGGAAAACGTACGGTGATTCAGTTGGTATCTCAGAGCAACATTGAAATTGAAAATGTAGTAACCATGAATTCAATTTCAAGTAATACCATATTAATCTCCAGCCTGTCGCGTAGCACACAGTGTATGAAAGAATATAACTTCCAATAAGATCATGATATACATATACGAGGTCTCTTTGTCCAAGGTAAAACCTGACACTAGCCAAACGAAATGAAAACATCTCGTATTACTCGTTCAGCCGTAACTCGACCTCGTTAGGTTGTACCCATTTTGGCATCTCCATACGTGAGTTACACAACTCACCGCCTTTATATGGCCTCAAGGAACTAGTGTAACAATAGTCCCTTCTGTAGAGCGCAAGTAAAATAACTTCGGGTGTGATATATGAAGACATGTCCAGTAGGCAGAACATGATGTCCACTAAAAGCATAGCGATGCTATGGCTCCTCCGTTAGGAAATATAGCAGCAATTATGATATATTCATATATACGAACCTCTAGATGAAAGAGCATCTCCGTCAAGTAGATTACATCTAAGCCAGAAGAATACCCTGATAGAAAGAACTACATTGATGACAATGCAATAATATTTTACATGTCAGGGCTATAGCATGATTCTAAGGCGCACCTTGAGGTAGTCTATATTAACTGGTTCGACACGCACAACTCCTGTGCTCCCCTTTGGGTATCTATATTTTATTCCTTTACTTGTTAAACAGTGATATTCGTCCTCGATGCTAGCTACATGTACGTAGTTAATATCTCTACCAGCCATAATCTATCGAAGGCAGATAATCGAATATGAGAAGTCTTTCTAAGTCCATCTTATTTTCAATCTTGTGCCTCCGGTGCGGTACCTTGGTACTTCCAATAGCACACAATCAAATACCCACTTCGGAACAATTGGCGAATAGGAAGGCAGGGTTAACGGCACAATTTCGGAGGTCCGCGATTGCCCTCCGCGCTATGTATATAAACTTCCCGGTTAAGCAGCCTATCACAGCCCGGTTAGCTCAATCGGTAGAGTAAGTTAACACACTCACTAGTTCTCACAGACCCTTCAACTAACAACCCATAGGCGTGAGACTCTTAATCTCAAGGTTGCGGGTTCGACCCCCGCATCGGGCTCAAATCCTGATGCGTCTGTTCAACAGACACTTCGAACCAATTTTTTTTCGTTATTTTTCTCGTCATCATACTGATGTGTAGGCTGGTTAGAAAATGGGGCTGCAATATGCGGAGCTCTCTTCACTTTTTTTTCAGTTCTTACTCTCTAATACGGTTAGGATTAGAGCTGTATGGGCGTGGTATATCAATAGAACGAGAGCTAGACTTGCAAGCAATACTATATGAGCACTCAAGGTCTGAGCCGAGGGTTCAATATCCGAGTTCATATCTATCTTTATTGAGTGGATTTCTCATGACCGGCCGTCGCAACTTCTAGTATCTCTTTCTCAAGTCCACCAACATGAACGAACCCAATACCGGCGCCTTCCAACTTCTGCTTGCTAGAGTTGACACTGACGAACTTTTCCGGTTCGTAAACCCCAACATAGACTGTCTTAATCTTATTTCCTATGGCCAATATCCTATCCACACATGGCAGGTTCCCGCTGAGTCTCTGAGAACAGGGCTCAACTGTAGTGTAAAGCGCTACATCGTTGGGGAGCACCTCGCCTAGGCGACTTGCCGGCACACCATGTTTCTCTGCAAGCTTCTCAAAGCAGCATTGTTCGGCGTGGGTGTTTCCCGGAAGCTCCAGGGTGTAGCCAGTCGCTAATATCTCATTCGTAGTTGTCTCCACCACGACAGCCCCGACTCTGTAGTTGGTGGGCTTCGGCGGTGATTTAGTGGCCAAGGAGAGTGCAAATTTAATATATGACTGATGATCCCCAGCCTCTATCCTTCCCGCTGGCTGGGAAACATTTTCGGTCATTTTCTGAGGAATACTTTTGTAGATAATGAAGGAATGAAATTGACTACCCCGCCAGCCCGCTAAATCAATTAAATGTGGGTCTTATCGATAATTCGCGTAATAAATGGTTACCAGTTAGGTGGGGCTGTAGTTGTATTAATATCTGAAACGCGTGTAACGCGATCTCGTTCATTAATTACATGTGTACCTAGCAAGCTCCTCGCCTTAATCCCATCCACGTCCTTCACTATCCACTGAACTTTTTTCATTATGGACAATGCAGACGATCTACTCGCGGGTGAACCGCCTACTATAGACCCATACGAGGTCCTTGGTCTGGAGCGCACAGCAAATGAGGGCCAAATTAAATCGGCCTATCGTAAGCTTGCTCTAAAAAACCACCCAGGTAAGTTCTCCAACTTACGGTTTAACACTTGGCTCTCGCCGCATTCTTACATGTAATTCCGTTCATAGACAAGGTTCCCCAGGACAAGAAGCAGGAAGCCCACGAGACCTTTCAGTCCATAGCATTCGCATACGCTGTACTATCCGATCCGGCAAGACGCAAACGCTATGATGAGACAGGCTCGACCTCTGAATCCATCGTCGACTCGGAAGGCTTCTCTTGGTCGGACTTCTACCGAGAGCAGTACCGCGACGCTGTCACTGCTGATGCGATTGAGAAATTCGCCAAGCAGTACAAAGGTTCCGACGAAGAGAAGGATGACATCCTTATGGCCTACGAAGAACACAAGGGTAATATGGATAAGATCTACGAGTCGGTCATGCTTAGCGACGTGCTAGAAGACGACGAGCGGTTCCGCGCTATCATAGACGAGGCGATCGCCAATAAGGATGTACCCGCGTTCAAGGCTTACACGAAAGAGAGCAAGAAGTCCAAGGAGGCTCGAATCAAGGCTGCCAAGCAGGAGAGTACTGAGGCTGAGGAGTACGCTAAGGAATTAGGAGTACATGACAAGTTGTTTGGTAACAAGAACAAGAAAGACGGCAAGGGCAAGAGCAAGGCGGAATCATCAGAAGACGCCCTAGCAGCGCTCATCCGTAATAACCAGAAACGTCAAGGCGATTTCCTGGATAATTTGGCAGCTAAGTACGGCGCGACACCGAGCACCAAGAGAGGCAAGAAGCGTGCAATTCTAGAAGAGGAGCCCTCGGAAGAAGCATTCCAAGCTGCAGCAGCGAGACTTAAGAGAGGTAGGAAGAAGTAAGGATAGAAGCCCCAACTCTGGTTTTGATCTGATTAGGTGGTCTTTCACGGCGCGTACGGTGTTATTATGGCGGCAAGGGAATTCATACGGGCGGGTATGCTCTGGGTTGAGAGTCTGGTCGCGATGTCCATTACGTAATCACTATACTGAATACATAAATATTTACTATAGAGTCTAGTGTGTTCCATGGCATCCATAGATGCGATAAAGCATCAAGACAGATGAGTTGTGCTTCCTGAATATTACCTCAGGGTCCTATAAGGTTGGGAAGTGGGGCAGATCCCAGCTTAGCTTGAAGCTTTCCACGTAAGTCGCGTCGTTCTTGTAGGAGGGTTGCCAACTACAACTTTTTGAGACACAACGCGCCGGACTCACTAGTATTGCTTTTTAGCAATATATTCCGCTACCAAGATGCGATGACAGATGCGGAACCACTCGAATACTACCCTGCTTATTGTTTCCATCTGTCTCCGACAATAAACAAATGGTGTCCACTTCGCGCTACCGACGTCCATGGTCTTGAATCTCGACCTGGATTTGAAGGTACTCACATGCTTAAAACCCCATCCCAATTATGATTAGAGCTTACGTGTACAAGGCGATGATGTATTCTTTTCCTTAAACCACCCAATTCGATGGGTTCGAATCGTTGGAGTCGTAGTTGCGATCGACGAATGGTATGGCAACCGGGTCTATACAGTTGACGACAGCAGCGGCGAGTGCATAGAATGTTGTAAATATGCGCCGAAGCCGGTCGATAGCCGCCCCCAAGATGGCGGAGCTGGAGAACCAACCGCCACCACTCCAGCTCCCGCACCGGATCCGCTTTTAGATATTGACGTCGGCATGACGGTCGAAGTCAAGGGCAGTGCTACTACCTTCAGAAGTCAAAAACGGATCAAGATTCAAAAGGTGCAAAGAATCAGGTCAACAAACCAGGAAGTCCAGTTCTGGAACAAGACCCGCGACTTCCGAAGAGAGGTCCTTAGTCGGCCTTGGGTACTGGAGAGGAGAGAGGAGCGCCGATGCAAGAAGCAGCACATGGCTGATGTGGATGCCGAGGAGAAGAAGAGGAAAAGGAGGAAGGAGAATGGATATACCCTCCGGAAGACTATCACGAGTAGAGAGTCCAAGACCATTAGCGGAGATACGAGAAGCAAGTCTACAGAACAGGAGCCCTTGACTAAGTTGAGAACTGGAAACTCGCACGCCGAGGGCCAATATGATGCGCTAGGACTATGAATAGGACTATGAATATACACGCCACACTTCTCGATGCTTTGCCCAATGCCGTAATCGAAATCCAATATCTTTAAAGCTTCGTGACTATGATTATGATGATGACATGGCATTGGAGTCCTATTTCCATAATGCCCAAGCCTTTTCACCCCGATACAAACACTATACTGTTTAAATATTTTAACTAAATAGTCATCCTAAATATGCGGAGTGTCAACTCTCCATACAACACTTTCGATATATAAGGTATACATCTCTGAACCCGGCTGCGCGGCACCATAGTACGATTATCGAAAGTGGGGCTACTGGATGAGACAAGTCCTTGCCTCAGCTGCTTCTCTCTCAAAAAGCAATTTCCAAAGTCAAGTTTTGTAGAGACATGTTCTTTCCGTCTCGTAGAATTCCTACTTGAATGCCTACGTAAGCGAGCAGCTAAGGTAGCTGCGAAGTTCTTGATGACTTGTGTCTCGTGTGTCTGGAACTTAGCTCAACTTCTTGTCTGTTGTAGCCATCGTAATTATTCTTCATACCTTTCCCTCTTTATCGACATATTCTATAACCTCGAACTAAAACCTAAGATCGATCGGTATTTCTTTGCTTGTCGGATTCTAATATCCTATATTAAATTAGTCTAGGTTTATCTCGTCCTACTGTCGCGGCATTTCCGCAGCCCTCGATTCTCATTCCAGTGGCGCTTCTAGACTTCTTCGTTTGCTCGAACTTGTCACGTAGGTAGGACTCTTTTGCCCCTATTCAAGACAACGCATTCCCCATGTCATGAGCTCCACACGTCATGTTGGTGGAAGTCTTGACTCAACCGTCGCCTGGTACACCGATGTCATTCTTTGATATATCGATTCGAGTCATCCACCATGTCATTAAAGGACACATACAGCCCACCCATTACTTCTGTATGAGCAAGCATGGGTGTTGGATTTGATATCCAACATTTGAACTTCTCTGCCATTTCCATACCATTTCAGACCATTTTCTATCTAATGATCCATACCGAAATTACGGAATCGCAATACCAAAATCATCACAAGTCGAGGAACAGCTGCTTAGGGGACTATTGGATAAATTTCTACATTAAGACCACTAATAATACAACCCCTTTCTATATCCATTTCCCTCTAGAACCATGATGCGGTCGTCTTGGATACTAACATTACTTCAGGTCTACCCTAGCCTGGCAGCCCGACTTGAGGCTTCGAATAGTGAGATTAGGCAACATAGTCAAGACGAACTCTCAGCACGCCAATTCCGAGAGAGCTATTCTCCCATTTCGATAAGTCAGAATCCTTACCGCGAGGGGTATCAACCAGTCTCTACTGTAAACAGTTCGGTAACTTCGGCAGATCTTCAAGTCTCTCCTACAGTTTCTGGTTTCCAGCCAAATATAACAGGCTCGGCTTCTGCAGGAGAAACACCAGTCCAATCTAGTCCGGGACCAAGTCCAACTCCCGATCTCGTGCCATCAGGACCTGAGACTGATCAGCCCGACGTGACTATGTCTCCGACAAACATCTTTGGGACACCGATCGCGACTAGTCCCCCTCCAAAGTCTTTTACGGTTCAGAAGGACCACCCAGTACCTCGGACAGGGATTACCAGTCCTGCGCCAATAGGTACCAACAAATTCTATGCCAACTTCTTCCTTTCTAAACAATCGGCGCCTACATATGTGCATCCATATTCAGTAGTCTGGGCGAAGGGCCAGGGAATCTCGCCCACCTGGGGATTGA